TATAAATTAAACCATTTGAAGATGAAAGAATATATGTATTTCCCATATATTCCCAAGGGGAATCTTCAACTGGCTTAAGGATATCCCTGTTCTATTTATCTGTCTATAGACTTTTCTTGAATTTCTTGGATATTGTCTTGGACTCAAAAGAGCGTATATTAAGGATAGGGCAAATACATGTTTCAAGATACTGATGAAAAGCATCACGTTCTCTATTCTTTGTAAATACAGAATTTTTTCTTCTTTGCTCTTTGTAATCTATTGTACAGCAGTACAGAGTCCTAAGACTTCTGGCTCACAGGCAGAAAACCACTTATTTACATCCATGTCTGCTACACACGCTCTATGGCCAGGAATTTGCCTTCTCCCACCCTGCTGAAGATCTGTTTGTTAGGGCAATTTGCTTACTCTCTGGGCTCCAGGGTGGGTGAGGACAGCACACAAGGAACGAGCATCAGAGGAAATCCTAGGCCTCCTCTCGCAGATGGCAGGGCAACACAGGCAAAGCAAAAGCCGGAGCAGGTTGCAGGACTTTGTTAAAAGGAAAGGGACCCCTGTAAGAACTCTTTGGTTGAGTATGAGGGGCTAAGGAAAAACAAAGGGAACCTGCCAGACCTCCTGGTTGCTCGGAGGAAGCTTGGGACTTGCGTGAACAAGGGTTTGAGAAGCACCTTCTGCATCCTGGGAGAAAAGGTCGGTGGGAGGGGGCTCTTCATTCCAGGTATGGCCCGGATACAGCAGAAACCATCTGTCCTCCACACGAGAGAACTCTTGGAGACCATCCTCTTCACTTGGCTGCTGAGACCTGCATGCTGCTCTTCGCTGTCTGGCAGAACCTGGGCCAGAATGCAGGAGGAACCGTAAGTCTATGCCCTGCCCTATCTTTGGGGACATGGATCGATCAAGAGACCTGGATTCGTCACGTACACGATGAGTTAAAAACCCAGAGCTAGCCACCACAGTGGTACAGGCCTGAATCCCAGCACTCAGGAGTCTGAGGCAAGAGAATCGCTGCAATTTTGAGGGCAGCTTGCACTGCATACCAAGACTCTGTCTCACACCAAGAGATAAGCAACTGTATTAAAATAGCACCTCACCCACCGCAATGCACACACACACAAAGCTGTGTCTATTTAAAACTACAGTTCCTGGATTTTGACCCTTATCTGCTAACTGGTTATCATACTAAGAATGAGCATTTGTTGAGTACCTGCTGAGTACTAAGCACTTTATGCATACTATCTCATTTAACTCCACAGCATGTCCTCAGATGTGCATTTTCTAGATATTCAGGTTCAAAAACTTACTCAGGTGCAGTGACTTCCTGATGGTACTGCGATCCTAGCACAGGTTTATCCTCACTCATGCCAGGTCCCAGGCTTTAGGCCAAGATTTCTCAGTACTACTGACACCCTGGAGCAGATAGTTCGCTGTTGTAAGGGGCTGCATAAGACCCCCAGGAGCATCTTGGTGTCCACCCATTGGATACCACCCATTTGACTGTGATGATCAAAAATGTCTTTGATATTACCAAAAGTCTCTAGGGGGTAGGAAAGTTCACCTCCCCACAACTGAGAGCCACAGCTGTAGGCTAAGCTACCCTGTGTGTTGTTTCCTGGTACTTTACAAATATGTAAGCCACATCCCTCCAGGAAAATATGGTGCAGCTACAACACCACCCTACCCTACAGTTATATATCACTACATTGCTTGCTAAGGACTTTTAAAGACATTATCTCCTTTCATGTCATGAAAGCAGTGAATCTAATCCTGCAAGAGTTAATCTACCTCAAAAATATGAACACTCTTACGAGATATACTGCACCTATCTAGCCTTCTGCAAGATACTGAGGGAAAAGAGCATGGAGTGAAATGCATTTTAATCCTCAGCTGCATAAACCATAAGGAGAAAAAAGTTTGCTAACGCACAATCATATGAGAGTATATTATGTAAACTTCAGGGGTGCAAAGCCTTCATCTCCATCTCTAGCACTTGCTTGTCTAAAACAGGTGTCTCAGTCCCTTTTTTCATTGCTGAGATAAAATTCCCATGACCCAAAGTTAAAGAAGAAAAGGTTTATTTGACTCACAGTTTGTAGAGGTTTCAGTTCACAGTTGGCTGGCTCCAAGGTAGGGTGGCATAGCAGAGGGGCATGGTAAAGGAGAAACCACTCATGGCAGGCAGAAGGCAGCAGGCAGCAAGCAGCAAGTGACAAGCAATAAGCAACAGCCCTCTTTCTGTGTCTTACATCTTATCCGGGCTACCCACTGTTAGGGTAGGTAACACTCACACCCTTAACCCTAGCACTGCACTGTGAATAAAACCCAGCCTCACGTCCTTGATCTCAGCAGCACACAGTCAAGATCCAGCCACCTCTGAAAAGCCCTATCTTTGACCACTGTGAGGGGACATCTAGTAACAAGCAACAATGACAAGGAACCCTTATAAAAGTTGAAATTTCACAAAATATTATCTCTTGTGTAGCAACCCCAAATCACTTATGTTCCTATCTTTCTAATTTTTATCTATAAAGTAAGTCACAAATTTGAAAAAAATGCCAATATTTACGGAACAGTTAAGAATTTACTGCCAGACTATTCTTCCACATCCTTTACAAAACAAAACAAAACAAAACAAAACAAAGCTCGGTGTTAATTGAAAGGAATGTTTACCAGAATTGTCCCTTTCAACACTTGCCAAGAGAACTATAGCTGTTTTATTAGAAAAATGTTTTCATTGGACCTGGAGAAAGAAGAATAAAAGAGGCTTTTAAATTCCAGTTTTCTGTTCAGATTTTCACTTCTATATCAAATTGTATTATGTGTAATACAACTGAAACAGGAACATTCATTTTAAAAATATCTGAATTCAGCCAGGCATAGTAGTATACACCTGTACTCTCAGTACTCTGGAGGCTGAGGCAAGAGGATCGCCGAGTTAGAAGCCAGCCTGGGGTACACAGTGAGTTCAAACCAGCCTGAACTACATAGCAAGACCCTGTCTCAAAACAAACAAAACAAACAAAAACAAAAATCTGAATTCAAAATAAAGTAACTAGCTGTGGCTACATTTAAGGTCACCCTTTAAAAATTAAGATGTTACATGGGTAAAAGCAAAATTTCTTATTCATATATTATTGAAAAGTCCAATTGAAAAGAATATCATTACCTGAAAATTAAAAATTTGCATGACTTCAAAGGAATTTTAATATACAGCTACCAATAAATAATTTTACTAACAAAAATAGCTAGACTTTATTGAGCACTCATTATGTATCCTGCACCAAACTCAGAGTTCTATATGCATAAATCTTATCTAATCTTCATCACAGCTCTTTGAGGTACATATTTATTAATATCTTCATTTTAAGGTAAGAAAACTGAGGCCAAAAGAGGGGAAATAATTTGCCCAAGACCATGGTTAGATCAAGATTTAAATCATGGCCATATGAAGCTTTATGCTATATAACCCCCCCAAAACTGGGGGATTTAAGGAAACAAGAGAAGATACTACACTTGATCTTTGCCAAAAGGCCCAGAAGCGATGGAAACAGAAGAAAAGGCTATATTCAATCAGCTCCTCATGCGGTGTGTCCTGGAGTCTTACGGCTGGAATGGATTTTTAGAAGTCATTCTCACCTGCTTCCTTCTATATAAATCCTTTCCCATCAAAACGCAAGCACCAGGTACTATCTACACGTGGGGTAAGTGGCTTTCTTGGCACCTTTTTGGTGGGAAAACAAGACTTGTTTGTTTTGCTTTCTGTAAAACCCTATAGTCATGGATACTTTCTAGCAGAGTATCAAGGGGTGAGAGGAAGGCTTCAGACTAGTCCTGTATAACAAAAAAGGACACAATGAACCATTAAAAAAAAGACATATGTCTTAGTTACTTTTCTCTCCTTGCTGAGACAAAAGACCTGACAACCAGAGTTAAGGAAGGGAAGGTTTATTTAGCTCACAGTTTGTGGAGGTTTCAGTCCATACTCGGCTGGCTCCAAGGCAGAGTGGCACATGGCAAACGGCAACAGTTCATGGTGGCAGAAAACAGCAAAAGCAGCAAGAGCAAGAGGCGAGGGAGTGGCAGAGAGCAAGCCTCTTTCCCTCCCTTATACTGTATTTAGGCTACCTGCCCCAGGGCGGGTGTAGCACTCACACCCATAATCCCAGTATCATTCCGTGAATCAATCAAAAACTCTAGAAACCCACCCCATGACTTCACGAGGCTTTGTGGGGACATCCAGACACAAACCATAACAAATATCAGAGCACAACCATCCAAATAAAGATTGTGCTTTTCTTATGGTTTGGATCTTAAATGTACCCCAAAGTCTCATGTGCTAAAGGTTGGGTCCTAGCTAGTGGCTCTAATAGGAGGTGGGACCTAGTCAGGTGCGGGATGTGCCCTTGACACGTATATTGGGACCCTGGACTGCCCCCCCACTCCAGCTTTTCTCTATCATATGCTCCCCCCAATACGTTCTGCCTCCTTACAAGCCCAAAGCAACATGGGTTGAAACCTCTGACTCCACGGGCTAAAATAAAATCTTTCTTCCCCCTAAACTGATTGCCACAGGTACTTTGTCACAGTGACAGAAATCTGATTAACAGCTTTGGAGTCATATTTTCCGATCCGTAATACATATCCCATACCTTTACTGGATGTCTGTTTTAGAATACTAGTTCTTTAAGAGAACATTCGTTAAGTTTAATGAGCATACTTCATCTTAGCACCTCAGAAGCCCAAGCTGGCCCCTACTAGGCATTTGGTGCTTTCCCAACTGAGGAGGTTTTGCCATTACTGAGGCAGTTCAGTAAATGTGTGGCAAACTGTAAAGCTACCTCCAAAGCAGTAGATCCAAAATTATTCTCAGCCAAAACAACCGCACTAGAATCAGTACACAGCTTGTCAAGAGGAAGCTTCTGAATGAGCGAAAACCTCATCAGAATGTACACATATGGGCATATTTATTTTAACATTTGGATAAAGAACTGGAACCCTCAGGTACTTTACGTCCAAGTGAATAAATAATGCTGCTGTAATAATGATCATGCAGATTTTTGGTGCAAGGTTCATACCATTCAATAAGCTACCTATACCTACCCCCTTAATGGAACAAAGCTTCTGCTGAAATGACACTTGCAGAACGAATGCGTCACTGTCCATTCAACTTGCGCAATTATTGAAGAGATGGTCTTTTCGTAAAAAGCAAAAAACAGAGGCAACAAATGCTAGTTGCCAGAACCATCCTTGGTTCTCCCAGGAGGTTTCCTTCAGTCGTCAGACCTCTCTGTACAGCCGGGAAGGGAGGTGGAGGGTGGGCCTTCTCCCTGTCTCTAATCCCCGTATCTTCCACCAGAGAAACCCACTTCACAGGATTCCCGTACCCTGGGTCTTCCTGAATTAGCTGCATAATAAACTAATCATTACGCATAATTAACAATACAGGATAAGTTAACACACCATAGTCAACATTACTTCACCAGTTGAAGGGTGTTGTACACCCAAGGCAAACAACAGGAAATTAAACAGACCATGCCCTATCATTTGTTTCTAGATACACCCTTAGATCCTCATCTGCTGAGGTGCTAAGGCTGGGCAGTCTGGCTCCATTTCGTTGACTTGGTCAGATCAGCGGTGGGTTCAGGCATGGAGTCTTAACAGGCATCAAGAGCCGTGTGCCTGCTATGTAGGAAATTTCTGTTACCTGTAGAGGAGGAAGGCTTCGGCGGCACAGACAACCCCAAACTGTCCCATCTACCTCCTGCTTACTTGATTCTGGAAGACAGTGCCCTCGTGGGCACGTGTGCATGTGTGCGTTGCTGACTTTCCTCACGTTTTTACTCACAAACAGCCTCTCTGAGTACAGGAGCAAGTTGTACATGTGGTTCTAGAAATTACAAACGTCTTTATTGTATGAATTATACTTGGTACAGAGAGGTGGATAGTGCTATTCTTAGCTCAGGCTCTTCTCATCGGATGCCTGGGCAAAAATTACTTCTAACCCAGCTCAGAAGTACGGGGTGTAATTTTTTTTGGGGGGGGGTCTATTTTCAGACTGAGCAGTTCAGACTGGTCTTGAACTCACTTTGTAGCCCAGGCTGGCCTCGAACTCGCAGAGTTCGCAGAGTTCGCAGAGTTCGAGGCCAGCCTGGGCTACAAAATGAGTTCAAGCCGTGCACCATCACGCCAGGCTAGGGAGTAATTTAGAGCAAGTCAAAGAAGGCGATCCGGCAGTCCGTGCCTGGGGTGACGGTGGCGGGGTGCACAGCTGTACTGGAAGCTTCGCGGTCTAGGCGGCTTCAGGTCCCTGCACGAGTCAGCCAGATGCGCCCCGGCGCGGCTCCCCAACTCCCGGGGCTCTCCGAGTCCTGGCTCCCTACGCGCCCTCCTCTGGGGCTGACCATATTTGTCGAGGCGTCCGCGACCCCACCGCCCCGACGTGACCGCGTCCCGCGGCTGCCCGCGTCTCCGCCTCTCCGCCACCCCGACCCCGGCCGCGCGTTCCCATCCCTCCCCCGCCACAACCCCGTCGCCCCGTTCTCAGCACCACTCCGCTCCCCGCCGCCGCTCCAAGCCCTCTCCGGTCTGGGGAGCAGCCGTTTGGCCCGCCCCGACCCACTCTTTCCGGGGCTCCCCTCCCCGCCCAGCTCTTCCTCTACCGGGGGTTCCGTTCCCCTCTGCCCTGCGGAGGGCGCCCCAAGAATGAGGACGGGGCACCCTTCGACCGGCCCTCCTGGGCTCCCCCACGCAGCGCCCCGACACCTCCATCCATTCCCCGGCTTCCCGGGCGCCCGCACCGGAGCTCCGCACCTCGCCGACCTGGCCCTCCGCATCCCCGCCCCAGCCCTGCAGGGCAGCGGGGCTCCCCGACACCCCAGTCCGGGGCAGCCATCCCGCTTCCAGCCCCGCGGGGCGGAAACCACGGATGTCGGGGTCCCGACCGCCTTCCCGCGCTCGCGCTCCCCGGCAGCGCGGCTCCGGAGCCCCCTCCGGGCAGG